AGGGAGGCGAGTGGGGACGAGGGGGCTGCGTTCAGTTTGCGGTACTGGAGGGAGTTTTTCTGCCCCGGAATGATCGTGTGGGGGTGGGGGGGAGCTGGAGCCTATTAGGACGATTCTGGTGGCGAGGGATGGTGATGGGTTGGGGTTTTAAAATTTTATTTAGCTTTTCCAACCGTGTGTGCTTTGCTTGCAATTTTAAGGCCTGCCTTTTCCTTTCCCCCCCACCCTTAATTTGGTGGGGTTTTTTTTGCCAGCCCTCTCCTTAACCCTACTCCCCCTCTCCCCCGCAAGCCACGAAGGTCTTGGTGGCCCTGAACAGGGGTGGTTGGACGGGCTGCCCTTCTGGTTGTCATTGCTCCTTCTGAACTTGCTAGAAAGATGGCAGTTGGTGAAAGATCTTTCTCGGTTGCACTGCGAGGCTTATCGTGAGAGGAAATGAGATTGAAAACTGCTGGCGTGCAGGGGACTTGCATACTCGAGAGGGTGATCTCTGTAAACACGGCCCTGGATCACGCTTGACGAGCACGACCGAGCTTACATAGCAGTCAAACAGGAGTTGTCTGTGTGGCACTGCGGAGGCATAGTGCTTGAGACTTAATATTATTATTACTTGAGACTTGATTTTATTATTTAAAGAAAGCTTGGATTGGAAAAGGTTTTTGCAGGTTTGATTATTATTTTTTTCTCTCCCGAGGATGGCAGCAATAAATGCAGTGGTATTATAGTATATTACTAGTTTGAGACTTGAGATTTTTTAAGTTTGAAAGTAGTACGATGTTCATACTGAGCCTTTTTAACGTAAAAAATCGGAGCTAATTTAGGAGAGTGGCATTTTCTGTCCTTTAGATCACAAACAGTTAGGCCTCGATTCTCAGGGATTAACAATAAACATACCAGATGTGTTCAGTTATTCGTGGTGTTGCTCACTAGATCTCAGTCTTCTCTATTTCATTTTTTCTTTTTTTTTTTTTTTTAAATTCCCCTTCCTTTCCATTCCTTGTTTTTCTTCCCCACTGGGAGATTCAGGAGTGTTTTGTTTGTATGTTACATTGCATTTTAACATTTAGTTTCTCTTCTTCTGTGGAGAGAGATAGTTGTATCCCTGCTTTATCTTACACCCACATTTCACACTCTGAAATTTAAAGATACTTTATTTTTTTTTCACAGAGAAGAGGATTCTGGTGTTTTTCCACTATGAGATTTCCAGCTCAGTTTAACACAAAGGCATTGGAGTAAATGCTTTGGCAAGTCTCATATAGTTCATACCCCAGCTGTTTTTGGAGTTTAGTGAGTGAGTTTAAGCATGCAGATTTATATACAGTTACTTAAAAGAACACTGCCCAAAGTGTTATCACAACACTTGGTGTGCCTTAAAATTTGTGCAGTCTCATTTTGTTTAAAGGCTTCGATTATAGACCAGTGCTTCTCTTTCAGATCAGGGGTATTGCACAAGTAAAAAAGGTGCATACGTGCTTCTTTGTGAACTTTTTGGACATTTGCGTGGAAAATCGTTTTCTTGGCATATTATCCTGGAAGCTTTAATGCATCAGGATTCAGTTTGTTAAACGTGCTATTTGAGGTGTAAAAATATTTGTAACCACTGACACCCATCATGCTTCAGAAATAACCTCCATAAAATTTTGGGCCACCCAGCATGCTGGTGAAGTGCCATTTGAAAGTTTATCACCACCTTAGTGCTGATTCTTTCGTAAGCTGAACAAATACAGGCTTTCTGGTTTCCTCCTGTCAGGAGCAGGTTGTAGGTGACTTCTTAGCATGGAAAGTTGCACTGTTTTGCTCTGGAATTCAACAAATTCCCTCAGTTCTGTCCCAGAAATAGTGACACCAGTAGTATTAGAGAAGAATGTGTTGGGTCAGCCTGAATTTACACTTGAAAAGAGAACTGTTGGCAAATCGGGGGAATAATCTTAGATTTAAATCCATTTAACTGGAATTGGAATTGCGCTTTACTTGTAAAGTGTCAGTTACTGCCAGTTTAGCAGATCAATGTGAGCAGAGGGAACGTTTGAGAGGACTGCTGCAGGGCTCACTTCTTCCAGGTCAGCATTCAGCCATATTGTGTATAAGAATGGAGAACAAACTACGTAAGATGCATAATTTCTTCCCACTGAGTAGCTGTGGAGCAAATACTCACAGTACCCAGCTGTTCCCCGGTCCAGTCTTGCCATCAGTTCTTCCATTTGTTTCCTTTCTTAAGGAAACTCGGTGACCCTTTGAACCTCCAGCTGACTTCAGTGACACAGTGGGTTTTGTTAGAAGCCCTTGGGTACAGAAATAGTTGGCATTTTGACCTCCAGTTAGCATGATCAGTAGCAGACATCTTCAGTAAAGGTGAATGTCCCTGGAAACTAAAATCTGTACTGTTTCTTTTAGCTTGGTCATGAAAGAAAATGTAATGTTTAAATTAATTTCTGCAGTTGTGTTTCACAGTCTTTACATGTGACAGAAATTGCTGATTATGCAGGCCATCTGGGGGATATGATAGACACACTGATGGAAATACAAGTTATATTTATAGGAGAGGGAGGGGACTTAATGGAACAGTTGCAACAAAGCAAACATTCTAAACTTAGCAGGATTTAAGTTAAATTATACCTGCCTGTATTTTAGCAACTCCCCTTCCCCTGGGTTACTAGTGTAAAAAGATTGCATTGGGTGTTTTGTTCCTTTCTCATGGTTTCACTGGCAGTTTTTTACTAGCAGACTGCCTGGGTAAGGTGAAGACACTTTGGATTTGCTGTCTAAAGAAAAGTCTTGCTTTAAACAGGCATTTCTCATAAATTCATGTTTTGCAAAAAGCTGAATTAGGACAAAGTTTGACCTAACAGCATTTGGAAAATTACCTTCTGCTGTGTTTGTGTGATACTAGTGAAAGAGCTATGACTTTTTGAGTAATTTCAAAATACATAAATTATAATAATTTTATGATACTCAGTTTTCAGTTGCTCTGACAAATTATTGCCAGAAGCTCATGTTTCGTCTAATACCTCAATTAGTCAGGTTAGTTCTGAACCTTCTTAAGTGTATTGAATTAACCAAGTGAAGAAAATGTATGTGAAAGAGAGTAGTAACTTCTGAGTAGTTCTGCTAGTTAGGAAATTGTTAGCAGAATAAACATAGCTTCTTACTCTCTTGAGTCTCCATCAAAATAATTTGAGAGAGGGTGTGATTTTCCCCAAGTACTTTTTTTTCCTCTCCTTTTTTGCTTCTATTAGAGTCTGGTGGGTTTTTGAAATGATTTTATTTTAATTGCTTTGGTTTCAGAATTACAGGTGGACTTGCAGGCTTGGCTGGAATTATTTTCCCCTCTTGTTTTTATTTGAGGTGTACTGCTTGATAAGAAAGGAGAGAAGACATAGTGGGGAGACAGAGAAATAGCTATTTTTGTCTAAAGCTAACATTGAGAGAGATACGAGGAACTTGCAATTAGGGGTTTTTCCTCATGCCTTTCATCTTAACTCTTTTAGGTGTACTGTTTGTTTCTGGAAAATGTAAGTGCTGTAGCTGTACCCGTGGCCTTGTCCAGAGGGAGGAAACCTTGAGGTAGAAATGTAGAGACCAGAGCTTTAAAGCAGTGACTTAAAAAATGGCTGTACTGGAAGGAAACTTTGAGATGGTTGTGCATTTAGAACTGATTTAGAGCAGGCATATGTTATTTCAGGACGTTTTATACCATCATAGTGATTGAGGGGGTGACTTTTCTGGAATATTGTGCTTGTGTGTCAACTTGCAGGGAAAAAAAGTAGAAAATGCTTAAGAAACCAGTAAATTCCAGAGTAATTTTTTTAAAAAATATTTATTTATTTTTTAACATTTTCATTTAATAACTGACATTGGCATTCCCAGGTTTGGAGCAAGTCGTGGAGGACCTCTTCCACCAAAGAAGTTTGGTAATCCAGGGGAACGTCTACGTAAGAAAAAATGGGATTTAAATGAACTGCCCAAGTTTGAGAAGAATTTTTATGTGGAACATCCAGAAGTGGCCAGGCTTACTCCAGTAAGTTTTCAGATTCTGTTTGTTTTGCCTACAACAGAAAATGTCACAAGTGGAAAAACTTGTCCTAGGAAGTCCTGGACAGTGTGTAATAATAGAACTGGCTTTTCATTAAGCTGATTTGGTGTGTGTGCACTCTGCAGGATAGCGATCGTAGTTGCCTTCAATATTAACATTAGCAAAGGTGATGCTTCTTCTCTTAGCTGTTTTTATACAGGATATTTTACATTTGGTCATTTGTAATTCGTCATCATAGTGCTTTGCTGGTCTAGCTATTCGACAGTGTAGATAAGTCTTGGAGGGCTTGAGAGTTGCAGTACTGGGAAGGCCCTGAAAGACCCTCAAATAGTGAACTAAGACTGGCAGAAATAGATGGGAAACATCTGAAAGAATGTTTTATCATAATAATAATTCAGGCTGAAAGAGGCCATGGGAGATCTCGAGTCTAATCCTCTGCTCAGAGCAAAGCCAAGTACAAAACTAGAGCAGCAGGCTGCTTGGCGCCTTGTGCTTTCGAGTTTGAATATCCCCAGGGATGGGGAGACTTTATACCCTCTCTGGGTGGCTGTCCCAGAGCTTAATGTTTCTCATGGTATTTTTTTCCTAATAATAATTACTTGCAATGTCTTCTCTATAGCGACTCATTGGGTGGTTGAAATTAGCAGTTCAGTTCCCCTGTTAGTCTTCTCTTTCCCAAGCTAAACAAATCCAGCGCTTCCAGTCTTTTTGTACTTCCTGTACTCCAGCTTCTAACTCTCCCCCTATAACTGGACATGCCCTGTTAAAGCAATACCTGTCATATTGGGGGCTGAAAATTGGATGCAGTACTTTACTCTGTAGATACAGTAATCTCCCCTTCCTGTGCAGCTTGAGTCTAGAGTCTTTTTTTTCCTCTCTTTAATGTTTTTTTATCTTTATAAATTAAGAGATTTCATTCTTAACACAAGGAAACAAACAAATGTTCTTATCCGATATCATAGACTTACAAATCTTTATGTGAAATATGAGATATTTATATGGCATGTAGGAATTGAAGGAGGCGTTGGCTTTTTAAAGAGAAGACAACTTTGACTACTGAATCACAGTTAATGTCAGCTGCTGTAGCTGTTTTTGCCTTAGCTAACTAAAAGGATTTTCATGTTTTGCCCAGAAGTTTTCCTTTTTTCACCTTTTTATTCAAGCTCGAGATTCTCACAAATAATAAAGTTACTGGTTTGGATAAAGTGCATGTTTGGTATTGATGTGTATTTTTCTATTGATTTTTAATGAGTATTAGAATAAGGTTATGAATTGTGGAAGCATGTTGCAAAGTACAGTTGGACTTGCAAGATAAACTGGATAAAGATTTTTTTTTCTAATCCTAAAGTTTTACTTATGTAGCTACATATTTCAGAAATACTTTTAAGAAGTTCCATTACTTAAAAAAAGTTGTGAGATCTTAGGATATTGTTATGACTTGGCTGGATTTATTTCATGCAGGAAAAAAGTGCAGGTTCCAAAAAGAATCCAGGCAACATTTCTGAGTTGCCACTTGTCCAGCAGGAACTCTGTATTTAACCACCTCTGGGATGGTTAATTGAAGCCCTGCCTTCTGCTTGTTTGTAGTATATTAGGGCCTATTTATTTTGTTTGGTTCTTAGCACTGGCACTTAAAACACGTTTTTTAGCTGATCCTCTGTTTCTAATCACTTCTGCAGCTGCTGGTCATTTATGGCCCCTGGAATAAGAGTAAAGTTCTTAAAAATGCTGTATTAATACACTTTTCATTAAAAACGGCTGGTTGGAAGAAGAGAGATCAGTCCTTCTAGACTACATGAAGGGCTCATAGCTGTGAATATTGCTGAAGCTATGCGATGTCTCAGTCTCAAGATAAAATCCTTAGGAAAGCAGTCTTTTTTCGATCTCTGTTTCAATTAATTTCTCTAACAAAGCTGTCATCTAGAGGTGTGAAGTGGATTAATAGTTAGAAACATGCACTTTAACTGACATTTGACTTTTGTCTTTGCATTTTTTTTTCTGCTTAAATAGTATGAAGTTGAAGAATTGCGAAGAAAGAAAGAGATAACAATTCGAGGGATGGAGGGCTGCCCCAAGCCTGTGTTTGCCTTCCACCAGTGTAGCTTTCCCCGTAAGTATTTTGCCATTCTTTAAGGTAACGAGGATTACTCTAAAAGAATAACTGTTTAGGCCTGTTTTCTAAAAAGTCTCTTGAAGCCACAGTTATCCTTTAAGAATTTTTTTTTTCTCTTCTGAAATTTGTAGAGTATGTGATGGATGCCTTGATGGACCAGAACTTCACAGAACCCACTCCAATTCAGTGTCAAGGCTTTCCACTAGCCCTCAGTGGTCGTGATATGGTCGGCATTGCACAGACTGGATCTGGGAAGACACTAGCGGTACGTGTTCTTGCCTTTTATTTATTTGGTTAGTTTTCGTAGTTGCTTTGTAGAAACTACCCTTGGCTACTGGTTAGTAGTTTCTGGGCTTGTGAGTACTAAAAGCATAAAGTGAGATGATTACATGCTTTTAAAGCTTGCTTTATTGAGAGTGAATGGTTTTTAAATGTTTTTAAAGCTTGCTTTCTTTTTGTGTGAGACTGCAGTCTCAACTCAGCTAGCCTGTCTTATTCACAGGCATGTATTTTGTGTGTCTCTGGATGCTCAGTCATGTCTCTTTAGTCTGTGCTTACATTGTGGTTTAAAAAGCAGTATGTGCTTTTTAGTATATTTGTTCTATTAACTGTGCAAGTTAAAGAATGGCTGAGTTTTCAAGATATACTATAATTTTATCTGCAGTGGTTAAGAAGGAATTTTATCCTTTATGAAATGCATTGGTTAGTAGATTTGAGCAATCTTGGCTTTCACTTAAAACTCCAAATTTAAATGAGCCTTTGTTTCAGAGGTGCTGAGCAGCTATATTTTGTGCTCATGTCAAAGCAGGTCTGGTTGGTCAGCAGCTCTGAAAATCTTGTGTTCTGGTATCTGGTTTTGCAGAATCGGGTGTTTATATAGCGAAGGTTTTTTGCTGTCGCTCACATCAGGTGTTGGCTTCTTGAAGGGATATTAGACTCAATGGGCTCTTGCCATGATCCATTTGTCATGGCAGGTGAGCCTTGGCACTGAATATTGAAGTCCTGTGTCTTGACTTAAAGTTCTTCTATTTTAGTACTTGTTGCCTGCAATTGTTCACATCAACCACCAGCCATATTTGGAGAGAGGGGATGGCCCAATTGTAAGTGCTTGTCAGTTCTCTTCCTTTTTTTTGTGTATTGCGTGGCATCACTAATGAAATGTGTACTTAATTTAATTTAATTGGTATATCAGAATAGTAAGTAATGTTTACTATCACAATGTGACCATCCCACTCAGTAGTTGAAATTCTGTGCAATTGCTACACAGTCTAATGGTATTTAAATGTTCTAGCTCATAAAGAGCAGATGGTCCAAATTTGCTTATGGTATCCGTGCAGAGCCCTTAAGTTAGAGATGTGTATACAGCTTGGCTATCCTGAATCAATTCTTTTTGCAGTGTCTGGTTCTAGCACCTACCAGAGAGTTGGCCCAGCAAGTGCAGCAGGTGGCTGATGATTATGGCAAATGTTCAAGACTGAAGAGTACCTGCATATATGGAGGAGCACCCAAAGGTCCCCAAATCAGAGATCTAGAAAGAGGTAATTTTGAAATGGGTGTTCGTAGTTTCTGGAGGAGGTGGTATTGTAAAATCTCTCTAAAAATAATCTTAAAACCTGTTTGGAGGAGGATGCGCATGGATGAGTGGCTGTCTCTTTCTCCAGTTACAGTGGTGGTGCATGTAGTTTTTCTCTGTTGTGTGACAGTTTATTTGGATATTGGATTTCCTTTCCATTTTCTCTTTGAGCTGTCCACTTGTGAAGACTGTCAGGACATAGGAAGGGGCAAAGGAAACTTAGCAGAAAGAGAACAGGTTATTTTGAGGGAATGCAGTAGCAGGAAGTGTAAGAAATTATTTTCAGTTCTTATCAAGGGCTAGTTACATATCATTTCAAATGCAGGAGTGTGCTGATGGCTTTGATCTTCACTAGATGAAAAAAATGTAATAGAATGATGTGAAAAGACGTAAGAAGTGTTATCAAGGTAACCATATGTGTACAGCAAGGTAACCATATATGTACAGATCTACTCAAGAAATCAGAAAATTTTACTTACTGCTGGAGTTTGAAGAGCCATTACTGAAAACGGCAGTAATGGATAAAGGCGTGCGTGGTAGAAGGCTGTGCAATAACTCTGTTGGAGAAAATGGTAGTGCATTCCAATTCAATGGAGAGAGCTCAGTAGGTTTTTGCATACCTTTCTGGAGTGCTGCAAAATAGGCGTTTGCCTGGTTATGAAGAAAAGACTTTGGTTAGAGCATGTGGGCAGGTTCAGTGCTTTCAGTTCTTTCAGGTGTTGCTGTCTTTGGATGATTGATTAGTATTTTCTGCAGTAAAGACTGTCGAACAGATGAAGTCCAGAAAACATTGTGTTGCAGTTGTGATCTTTTGGTTATTTAGTGAATTTACTTGAGAGGAGTACATCATTGACAGCAAAGGTTGCAGTTTATTCAGTCTCCCTGGCAGACCAGTGGCTCCATTAGATTTCTAATTCTTGCATGAGCTTTATAGAAACTAGAAGTATGCCCAGCTTTGGCAGCTCTGAGGTGTCCAGGTTGACACAGACAAAAAGGTCTGGGTTGCCACGAAACACCCTGCTTCTGTAAGTGCAGTATCAAGAAAGCTGTTGGGGTTTTGTTCTTTTTCACTCCCCTGCTTCCTTAAACTTATGTTCTGTGGACTTCTCAGTGACATCAAAGGACTCACCTGTAAGACTGGGGAATCTATGGAAAGGAGTCCCTCTTCTTAAGGAATGCCTAAACTTCCATACCTGATACTGGTTAAGGAATTCTGAATTCTGTTTTTATGCTAACAGTTACGGGCAAGATGGTTGTCTATCACTGTTGTTACATAATTACTCGGTATTAAAGTTCAGGCTTTGGCTTTATAAATTTTAAAAAAATAAAAATAAAGTGATTCTGGAAGTAATTTGACCTGTGTCGCAAGAGGAGCACTTAATGTTCGCTTAATATACAGTTTAGCTGGAGTTTGCTCGTGTTTTTCTGGTGAGCTTTCTAGACTGAATAATTCTGGATGAAGGTGGGTCAGGCTTAAGTAGAAGCTTATTTTTCTTCTGGTTTTTGTACAGCTCTTCACTGGTGTTTTCTGACAGTAAGCTTTTAACTTGTATACTGCATTTATTATTCTAATTGCACTGTATCAGTAATTTCAGAATGGAAAAAAATATTAAAAGAAACTAGGGCTTCTACTGAAATGACTCAATCTTGGGTACGAATGAGGGTGGAGCTTTTTTTTTTTGACAATTTTGCTCTTGGAAGGTGATTCATTCTGACTAAAAATACCAATTGACATTCAAATGAAGAGACTTACTCTTTTTCCTCATTCTGTTTTGAAGGTGTGGAGATCTGCATTGCTACACCAGGTCGCTTGATTGACTTCCTTGAGGCAGGAAAGACCAACCTTCGTCGGTGTACATACCTAGTGCTGGATGAAGCAGACAGGATGTTGGACATGGGATTTGAACCCCAAATCCGTAAAATTGTTGACCAGATAAGGGTGCGTGAACCTTGTAAAAAAGACAGCCTGCTTTGGTTTCCCATTCAAAGTCCAGTACCTTAAATAAATCCATTTTCTCTCTTTCTTAGCCTGACAGACAGACTCTGATGTGGAGTGCCACCTGGCCAAAAGAGGTGCGCCAGCTTGCCGAGGACTTCCTGCAGGACTACGTTCAGATCAATGTGGGAAACTTGGAGCTGAGTGCCAACCACAATATTCTGCAGATAGTGGATGTATGCATGGAAAGCGAGAAAGACCATAAGTGAGCTGATTTTCCTACCGTTTCACTTTTTTTGGTTGAACTTAAAGATCTACGTTGCTTTGTAAGCCAGATAGGAATTCTGAATAGTGAAGTTACCTATAGTATTATTTAACATTTGCGTGTCACAAAATAAGTAAGTCTTGTAATTAACTGTCTGTTGTTTATATTTTAACAATACTTACCTAAATTGTGTGTAAGTGGATGCGTGTTGTGTATGTTCTCAATGTAAGTTGAGAGGGTGCTCTTCTATTCTTGTGTATGTGAATGTACATCTTAGCTCTCTTGTCTGCTTTAGACTGATACAGCTGATGGAAGAAATCATGGCAGAGAAGGAGAACAAGACTATCATCTTTGTGGAGACAAAGAGGCGATGTGATGATCTCACTCGAAGGATGCGCAGAGATGGGTGATTAGCTTCCCCCCTCCCTCCCCTTCTTTCTAGTGCGAAATGGGAATTGTAATCGCAAGCAGTAAGGTTTAAATGTTCATGATGCTGTTGTTGGGAACAATTTGTCCGTTCTTTTCTTGGCTGAATTCAGTCTGAGTTTCCCAGAAGGTTCCAGTCCATCAAAGTATTAGTGCAAGAGTGAGTATTTGTAAGCTGGGCAGCTTTTAGTGTATCGGAATCACAGAATCGCAGAACGTTAGGGATTGGAAGGGACCTCAAAAGATCATCAAGTCCAATCCCCCTGCCGGAGCAGGAACACCTAGATGAGGTTACACAGGAAGGCGTCCAGGCGGGTTTTGAATGTCTCCAGAGAAGGAGACTCCACAACCTCTCTGGGCAGCCTGTTCCAGTGCTCTGTCACCCTCACTGAGAAGAAGTTTCTTCTCAAATTGAAGTGGAACCTCCTGTGTTCCAGTTTGTGTCCATTACCCCTTGTCCTATCATTGTTTGTCACCGAGAAGAGCCTGGCTCCATTCTCGTGACACTCACCCTTTAAATATTGTAAACATGAATGAGGTCTCCCCTCAGTCTCCTCTTCTGCAAACTAAAGAGCCCCAGCTCCCTCAGCCGCTCCTCATAAGGGAGATGCTCCACTCCCTTAATCATCTTTGTAGCCCTACGCTGGACTCTCTCCAGCAGAATACCAATACGCTGATGGGGACAGTATCAATACAGCAAATGCAATTGGGCTTACATGGTTGTTTATGTAGGTAGACGCAGGCCAGAGGAGGACAGGGAATAAAATATTTCTCGAAGTCTTTTTTTTCTTTCCATTTTACTGAAAGACGAATAAAGCTTCCTATTGCCTTTAATGTATGTGCTTTCTGTCTAAACTAATGTGCTTCTCTGTTTGGCAGTTGGCCAGCTATGTGTATCCATGGAGACAAGAGTCAGCCAGAAAGAGATTGGGTGCTTAATGGTGAGTCCATCTCTGAGGGGAGAATAACTGGGGCTGCTGTATGTGATTTACTGAGGCGTGATTTTCTCCAGTCTTTTTTTCTCTCTATACCCAATAGATGCATTTCAAAAGAACTTCCTTTGCCTTTGTACTGTTAATTTCACTATTTGTTTTGTTTTGCTTTTTGTTTTCTTTGACAAAACCACAATGGGAAAATTGCTTAACCCAGAGAGTTGGATTTTGAAAAATAATTGACATATATCCTGACTTGCTGGGGTTTCAGAAATAGACCCATCTTACCTAGATTCTGCAAAATGAGCACTTAGTGTAAATCAAGTTCAGGTAACACTATCGTTTTGAAGAGTCTTACTTCATAGCATGCTTTGTTTTACAGAGTTTCGTTCTGGAAAGGCTCCTATCCTCATTGCTACCGACGTTGCATCTCGTGGGCTAGGTTTGTACACATAGACCACTCTTGCCTACTGCTGCATATTTTTCTTCTTTGGACTGAAATATGTTTTCTTTAAAAAAAAAAAAAAAAAAGAAAATCAAAGCGTGATTTTCCCCCACATGTGAAATACGTTTTTTAACATTAATCTTTTTTTTTTCTTTCATATTCAAAGTCTCTTCCTGCTCCTAATGAACAGGCTTTGGTCTGCAGCAAGGCCTAGGCATGACCAATCGATCGCCAAGAGGGAGAAGAGACGTCCAATTATGCAACCCAACCCTTCCACCACACTCACTTCTTCCCCAAATCCAGCTTCTGTTGCTGGATGATAGGGATGGATTGCTCTCAGTTCAGAGCGTGTCAGATAGAGTTCAAGTAGGAAGCTGTGGGAGAGCATTTCAACAGCAAATAGCTAATATTCTCCCCTATGACACACCGCAGATTTGAACATACCAACCCCAGCGTACACGCATGTTTATCCCACAGATGTATTCACATCTGAGAAAGCAAAGCACTGCTCCAGATCTTTGGTCTTGACATGTAACCTTCCCTCCTCTGTGTTCCTTCTAGGCAGGACCACTGAGATGGTACATGGCCTTTAACATCGTGTTACCCAAATGTGTAATTGAGTCAAAATTGCACAGCTCTGTTCTGGTGGTATGAAAATTTTCTGTCTGGATGCATCAGTTGTGTCCCCTCTTTTAATAAGCATATTTGTGTTGTGAAACACTCCTGTGTGCTAAGCACAGTGCTTATACAACTGCCCACACTAGAAGAGGAGGATGACTTCTGAAGGGCTCTGAGTTTAATAATGGACATTGAATATTGCCCCCTCCCTGAGTCTGGTAGGAGATAAACTACTTGGGGGTCAATGTCTCATTGTAAATTGTAGACAAACTCATTGCAAGTCGTTGATAAGCTCAGAAAAATCTCTGTTAAAAATCTCCATTATCTGAGCTCTCTTTTTTCATATGCTGAAAGGGTGGCTGTGCTGTGCATCATATGGTCACTTTAATACAGTCAGACCATTACTAGACTTGGCAGCCTTTATTCACACAACCTTCACCCCTCCTTCCCCTCCCCACTCAAAAAATGTCCAACACTTCCTCAGAGAGGTGATTATATGGACTTCAGTCTCTGCCCTCTAGGGTCATGTCTGGACCTGTGCAGTTAGAACTTGGGCCTGTTGGGAGAAGGGACTGAGGCCTGAAACCAGTTTGTATGAAAGAGAGCTGCTTTCTCTAGCAGCGTTTTTTAAACAGGCTTGCTATGTGCTGGTAGCTTCTTTGTGCATCTTGCCTAGACATTTAAAACAGCCTCACCCCCCTCAAAAAGAAAAAAACCACTCCCCCCGAAACTACTCAATTGGATAACACTTCAGAAAGTCTCCCCACTTCCCATCCTCCACTTCACCTGAGCTAAGGGGGAAAGGTACCAGAGTCTGTTTCTTGTTACTGAACAACATCTCTGCTTATTTTGGGGCCCTGAGTTTGCTGCTTCTTAAAATAAGTCACTTAACTGGCAAACTTCTGGACGACTTCCTCCAAGATCCTGGAAAGTGAAGGCTTCTACCTAAATAACATAAAACAGGGGCGCGCGCCTTTTGGCTGAGTCACCAGGGCTTTCCCTCTTCCTAATGGAACATTGGTTTCAAAAAAGCTTCTTCCAGGTAAGTTCTGAGTCCCGTAATGACTTCTTTGTGATAATTCCCTGGAGTGAGGTCCTCTCTCTGCACTGATTTTTTTTTTTTTTTAACTTTTGTTCAGTCTATTAAACTAAAAACATTGAATTTGTTTTGTTTTGTTTTCTTTAACAGAAGCTTTGGTATCAGCTGCAAATCATTCTCAGTGCAGGGGTGGGGGCACATCTACATTGATGGTCAAAACAGCTCTCTAGACTAGCATGTTTGCTAGTTTATATCTCTCCCGATTACTATTCGGAGACTGACTGTGCCGTAGGGTATTCTGACAGTCTGACAAAGGGAATGTTTCCCAGGTAGCTGTCAGAAATTATGTACAGTTTCAGTTCTTGATCCTGCTTTATTACCTTCTGAAAGTGCAGGAAGATTGCAAGTGTGTGTAAACACTTTGGAGCATGCTAGACTGGAGAAGCCGAGTCTTGTCCTTGCTCTGGTCTTTCTTCAGCGAGCTGCGTGCTCTACAAGAACCACTTTCTAGTCTGGAAAACACCTTTGTATTTTCCTCTTCCTGCCTTCCCATTCTTCCCACTCCTCCCAGTCAAGTCAGTTCCATCTGCATTGGTAGCCACAATTCCCTGTGCTTTCTGCCGGGAAAGCACGTCCTTGTATCCTCTGTGGTAATTCAAGTAGCTTTGCTGCCGATGAATGTGCAAAATGGGACTGTCTGAGGATCCTGTAGCCTGCAGCTTGTCAGACTAGTTACACTCTGGCTGTGAAGATGCAATCTGTCATACGTACTCCTCTCTTTACTTCACTTTCCCCTGTTTAAAAAAACTGTTGCATCAAGGACCCTAGCTGGAGACTCGCGCAGCCCCCTGTGAAACCTGCCTTCTCACTCTTTTTTTTGGTGTGATTCCGGACTTTGGAGTCAGCAAAGACTGAGGAGCCCCCACTTTGCTGTAATAAGAAACAGACATAAAGTCCCCCTCTTGTCACTTCAACCCCCTTGTTTTTATTTTTCCCACAACCCCTTTGAAATTGATGCAGTCTGGGCAATAGATGCAGTCTGACCCTTTGGATGTATTTTTTGTATCTTCATTTTTTGACAATTGCCCCCGAGAACCCCGAATAGGGGACAAAAAGCGTTGGAGGACCTGAAACTTTTACCTGAGCCCAGGTTCTCCGGCGCTTCACAACCAAATGGGGCTACAGAGAAGCGTCTAAGCCAGTTCACAGAGCGAGCGTGTGTGGGGACTTCTCGCTGCCACGGACCCTTGATGCATGCTCCCCGCGCTCCAGTGGTCCCGTGTCAGAGGGCGGAGTTTTCGAAAGGAGGCCGCCAAAAATAAAAGGCAAAGAGACGGGATCGGCTGCAGCGGTTTCCCACAGGAGGAGGGAGTGTGCATCGGTCTGGTAACAAACAGAGAATGTTTCTCTCTTTAAAACAAAAAAAAAGGAAAGGAAATCACAAAAATCTGTGTTTTATCTTGGATATTTTCAGAATATTCTCTTTAAAATGCAGATTTTAATTTTTTTATGAGCTGTTAGGGCACTTACTGTAATACCATGCTTTTTTAAAGCATTGTCTACATAGCCGACAGGTGCTTTTGGTACTTGAGGTGCTTTCAAGTGAAGTGTTGCACTAACATTTACTTTGTTTCTGTCCTATAAGTTTACAAAGTCTGCCTTTTCAACAGGTGTGCAGTTCTGACCTAAACGTTAATATTTTGTGTGCAAAGGAATTTTGATTATTTCCTGCTTCCATCCGACACTGGAAGTAGGGAATTGTTAATGGAATTCAGGATTGTCCAAATTACAGAAGCTTGGCAGGAGCGGACGGAGCAGCATGGTGAAATGTTAGTGCAATACGTTCTGATGTAACTACAAAGCTGAGTTAAGGTATTTTAGGTCTCAGTAGTTTTTAATAAGTTGATTGAATAATACTAATGTAATTGGAGTGTCTTAAGGTTTAGGCTAGGGGATGTAGCTCACTGTTTTACTAAGACTGTAAAAGTAAATATTTTTAAGATTGCCTTTTATTTTATGTTACCAAGTGGAAGGTAAGTGATCTCATTACTGTTACTATTTGTTAGACTTCTCCCAACAGAGTAAAAGCTTTACCGTGGCAGTTCTGCCCTTCCTCCACCCCAGTGTGCTCTGTCTGACGGTGGCATTTTCACTTTCCAGATTGTATTTTGGGTTTTTTAAGTATCAAATTCAGTTACCTCATTCACAAACATTGGTGTCTTTGACACATGAAGGCAGAGAAATGCATTCCGGGGAGGATGAATTTGAGTGCAGGGCAAAACTGCTTTAAAATTACCACTGTTTTTCAGGACACTGATCTTTGTTCCTGATCATCTTAAACTTGAGTCTTGTACTCTTTTGGGATGAGTCTGTCTTGTATATATTCCATGCAATTACTAACTTTGTATTTTTTTTTCTTATTACTGTCACCTGCATTCGTGCTCCCCACCTTTCGTTGGCACGTCCTCTCTTCTTCTCCCCTTTCCTCAACCCCACCCCTTCACTGTGCTTCGCACCTGGGCACCTCACAAGACGTGGAAGATGTTAAATTTGTGATAAACTACGACTATCCGAACAGCTCTGAAGATTACGTGCACCGTATTGGCCGTACCGCACGTAGTACCAACAAAGGTACTGCCTACACCTTCTTCACACCAGGAAACCTGAAACAAGCCAGGGAGCTTATCAAAGTGTTGGAAGAAGCCAATCAAGCCATCAATCCAAAACTGATGCAGCTTGTGGACCACAGAGGAGGAGGAGGTGGTGGTGGAGGTAAAGGCACATGGGAAAAGGGATACACAGGGTGCAGGTTTTCCATTTTGAGGGAGGGGAAATTAAAAGAGGGTAAGGAAGTAGTAAGCACCAGTCTAAGATAACAGAGTAGATTAGTAATAAAGCTGTTTTGTACCTGAGATCTCTCCACGTTATGTAGATGCAGTATTTCTGCCCCAAAAAAGAAGTAGTCTACTGTTTTACCTTAGCTATAGATTTTTTTTTCTCCTCATAAGGTGTTCACAGAGCTAATTCTGCGTGAATGAATTAATTCCTTGCAGTTTGTACCTCAGCACCTGCAGCAGGATGTGTGTGCATACACATGTGAGATTGAAGTCAGTGAAGGGGTATGCTGACTCTACCTTCAGGGACTGAGACTATTTTTTCCCCCCATTCCCTGAAGGAATAGTAAGTTACCTTATATTTCCACATTAGTCCCGAATTTCTTCCATTTCTTTGTCTCCAAACACATGCATTAAGAACCCTTTTTGATCATATTTACACTTTGAACAATATGAAGAGACTTACAGGGAAGTTACAGTCAGTCAAGAGAACTGGCTCCTTGTGGGCAAAGTTGTCAATGCAGAAGGGGGAGAGAGGGTGGCATAGTTGTACCAGAGTTCATTGTTTAAAACTTGTTTATGGTACTAAATCTGAATATATCCATCGCCAGGAGGTCGTTCTCGTTACCGAACGAGCAGTTCAGTAAACAACCCTAACCTGATGTACCAGGAAGAGTGTGACAGGAGGCTCCGGGGAGTGAAAGAGGGCCGGAGAGACTCAGGTGGCTTCAGAGACCGTGAGCGTGGTGACAGTTATGCCAACGGAGCCAACAAGACCTATGGCAGTGCCTACGGGAGCCCAAATTCTGCATTTGGGGCAGCACAGAGCCAATATGGTTACGCTCAAGGGAGCTATGGAGCAGCTGCCTATGGCACGAGTGGCTATGGCACTGCAGAGTACAGTGCTAGTGGCTATGGTGCCAGCACCACAGCTGCCACCGCTGGGAGAACCTCACAGAGCACTACCCAACAGCAGTATGCAGGGATGGTGGGGCGCTC